GTTGCATCTTTCCCAAAAAGACTCATGGCTGTATTAGATCAAAAGGGTGCTTCTACTAAATACTGAGCAAAGGGTCTGAATACTTAGGACCATGTGATATTTCAGTTTTTCTTTTTTAATAAATCTGCAAAAATGTCAACGATTCTGTGTTTTTCTGTCAATATGGGGTGCTGTGTGTACATTAATGAGGAAAAAAAATTAACTTAAATGATTTTAGCAAATGGCTGCAATATAACAAAGAGTGAAAAATTTAAGGGGGTCTGAATACTTTCCGTACCCACTGTATATATAAAATATATCTATATATGAATTTTATTTTGTTTTGTTTAACATTTAAATTACTACATCATTGCTGTAATTCAATTTATTTTGTAGTTTTGATGACTAAAATATGGATAATAATAAATGAATAGTTGTGTCCAGATATTTTACTTGTGCTAATACCAGTCAAGGTTTTCATAATATGCTGGTTCCAGTACTGATAAACAGAAATTATATATGATTAAATGCTTCTTTATTATCACAGTATGATCAGAATGAGTTTTTCTTCATGTAATCTGAAACGTAAGAGCTTCTAATGAGTTTTGATGTTTCATAAGAAGTTCCCACAGTCGCTCTTATGAAGCGGAGGCACAACCCGGACCGAGCCACGAGGATTTCGCCTCACACAGTCAGTGGAATGAACCAGAACTCGGTTTAACTTTCATTGGTTACCAGGTAATCTTACACTGTGTTTTTTATATATATATATATATATATATAATAGGGCTGGTAAGCGATTACAATTTATCTAATTAATTACATGATGTGGTGATTAATCAATCTAATTAATCGCAAATGAATCGCACATCACATTTGGCGGAGAAATTACTCCCAAAAGATAATTTAAAGTCATTGTTGTGTAAAGCATCAAACAGACATTACAAAAAAGTAACTTCAGCAAGAAATATTTTGTTTGATAAAATTTATTACATATACTCTTTTGGACCATGAGGGTGAGTAAATGATAACACAGTTGTCATTTCTGGGTGGGTGAACTATACCTTTAATAATTAATTTTTTTAAATTTTATTATTACTATGGAAATATGAAATTATTTCTTTAAGGATAATAAACTAAAACTGCCAGTAGGTGGTGGTAAATGTCAATGATTAAGTCATCGAGTCATTTATTCATTCATTTGATTCGTTCACATGGCTGATTCATTCAGGAGTGAAGTAAATGGTTCTTTATGAATGGTCCATTGAATCATAAGGCTTGTTTGACTTGAAGCAGATCATCACCATCAGACCGATCTGTGTGTGACATCAAAGTACCGCAAGAGCTATAGAGAGCAGACGGTTCCTTATGCTTTTGAATCTCTCTTGCGGTCCTTTGATGTCGTACACCGATCGGCCTGTGCAGTGCCGCTTCAAATCCAACGCGCCGCCAATGCTTGAACGCGCCAAATGATTCACCCAATTCATTCAAAACGTGCATTAAGAAATGAAATGCCGCTGTGTGTAGGCCTGTCGCAATAATCAATATATCGACTTATCGCGCAATATATGTACATGACCTCAATAATTTTTGGTG